GTACTGTGATTGGTTGTACAGTACTGCTGTACTGTGATTGGTCATACAGTACTGCTGTACTGTGATTGGTTGTACAATACTGCTGTACTGTGATTGGTTGTACAGTACTGCTGTACTGTACTGTGATTGGTTGTACAGTACTGCTGTACTCTGATTGGTTGTACAGTACTGCTCTACTCTGATTGGTTGTACAGTACTGCTGTACTGTGATTAGTTGTACAGTACTGCTGTACTGTGATTGGTTGTACAGTACTGTTGTACTGTGATTGGTTGTACAGTACTGCTGTACTGTGATTAGTTGTACAGTACTGCTGTACTCTGATTGGTTGTACAGTACTGTTCTACTCTGATTGGTTGTACAGTACTTCTGTACTGTGATTAGTTGTACATTACTGCTGTACTGTGATTGGTTGTACAGTACTGCTGTACTGTGATTAGTTGTACAGTACTGCTGTACTGTGATTGGTTGTACAGTACTGCTGTACTGTGATTGGTTGTACAGTACTGCTGTACTGTGATTGGTTGTACAGTACTGCTGTACTGTGATTTGTTGTACAGTACTGCTGTACTGTGATTGGTCGTACATTACTGCTGTACTGTGATTAGTTGTACAGTACTGCTGTGCTGTGATTGGTCATACAGTACTACTGTACTGTGGTTGGTTGTACAGTACTACTGTACTGTGATTGGTTGTACAGTACTGCTGTACTGTGATTGGTTGTACAGTACTGCCATACTGTGATTGGTTGTACAGTACTGCTGTACTGTGATTGGTCGTACAGTTCTGCTGTACTGTGATTGGTCGTACAGTACTGCTGTACTGTGATTGGTCGTACAGTACTGCTGAACTGTGATTGGTCGTACAGTACTGCTGTACTGTGATTGGTTGTACAGTTCTGCCCTTCTGTGATTGGTTGTACAGTACTGCTGTACTCTGATTGGTTGTACAGTACTGCCCTACTGTGATTGGTTGTACAGTACTGCCCTACTGTGATTGGTTGTACAGTATTGCCATACTGTGATTGGTTGTACAGTACTGCTGTACTGTGATTGGTTGTACAGTACTGCTGTACTGTGATTGGTTGTACAGTACTGCTGTACTGTGATTGGTCATACAGTACTGCTGTACTGTGATTGGTTGTACAGTACTGCTGTACTGTGATTGGTTGTACAGTACTGCTGTACTGTGATTGGTTGTACAGTACTGCTGTACTGTGATTGGTTGTACAGTATTGCTGTGCTGTGATTGGTCATACAGTACTGCTGTACTGTGATTGGTTGTACAGTACTGCTGTACTGTGATTGGTTGTACAGTACTGCTGTACTCTGATTGGTTGTACAGTACTGCTCTACTCTGATTGGTTGTATAGTACTGCTGTACTGTGATTAGTTGTACAGTACTGCTGTACTGTGATTGGTTGTACAGTACTGTTGTACTGTGATTGGTTGTACAGTACTGTTGTACTGTGATTGGTTGTACAGTACTGCTGTACTGTGATTAGTTGTACAGTACTGCTCTACTCTGATTGGTTGTACAGTACTGCTCTACTCTGATTGGTTGTACAGTACTGCTGTACTGTGATTAGTTGTACATTACTGCTGTACTGTGATTGGTTGTACAGTACTGCTGTACTGTGATTGGTTGTACAGTATTGCTGTGCTGTGATTGGTCATACAGTACTGCTGTACTGTGATTGGTTGTACAGTACTGCTGTACTGTGATTGGTTGTACAGTACTGCTGTACTCTGATTGGTTGTACAGTACTGCTCTACTCTGATTGGTTGTATAGTACTGCTGTACTGTGATTAGTTGTACAGTACTGCTGTACTGTGATTGGTTGTACAGTACTGTTGTACTGTGATTGGTTGTACAGTACTGTTGTACTGTGATTGGTTGTACAGTACTGCTGTACTGTGATTAGTTGTACAGTACTGCTCTACTCTGATTGGTTGTACAGTACTGCTCTACTCTGATTGGTTGTACAGTACTGCTGTACTGTGATTAGTTGTACATTACTGCTGTATTGTGATTGTACAGTACTGCTGTTCTGTGATTAGTTGTACAGTACTGCTCTACTCTGATTGGTTGTACAGTACTGCTGTACTGTGATTGGTTGTACAGTACTGCTGTACTGTGATTGGTTGTACAGTACTGCTGTACTGTGATTGGTTGTACAGTACTGCTGTACTGTGATTGGTTGTACAGTACTACTGTACTGTGATTGGTTGTACAGTACTGCTCTACTGTGATTGGTTGTACAGTACTGCTGTACTCTGATTGGTTGTACAGTACTGCTCTATTGTGATTGGTCATACAGTACTGCTGTACTGTGATTGGTCGTACAGTACTGCTGTACTGTGATTAGTTGTACTGTACTGCTGTACTGTGATTGGTTGTACAGTACTGCTGTACTGTGATTGGTTGTACAGTACTGCTGTACTCTGATTGGTTGTACAGTACTGCTGTACTGTGATTGGTCGTACAGTACTGCCCTACTGTGATTAGTTGTACAGTACTGCCCTACTGTGATTAGTTGTACAGTACTGCTGTACTGTGATTGGTTGTTCAGTACTGCCCTACTGTGATTGGTTGTACAGTACTGCTGTACTGTGATTAGTTGTACAGTACTGCTGTACTGTGATTGGTTATACAGTTCTGCTGTACTGTGATTAGTTGTACAGTACTGCCCTACTGTGATTAGTTGTACAGTACTGCTGTACTGTGATTGGTTGTACAGTACTGCTGTACTGTGATTGGTTGTACAGTACTGCTGTACTGTGATTGGTTGTACAGTACTGCTGTACTGTGATTGGTTGTACAGTACAGCTGTACTGTGATTGGTTGTACAGTACAGCTGTACTGTGATTGGTTGTACAGTACTGCTGTACTGTGATTGGTTGTACAGTACTGCTGTACTGCAATTGGTCATACAGTACTGCTGTACTGCAATTGGTCATACAGTACTGCTGTACTGTGATTGGTTGTACAGTACTGCTGTACTGTGATTGGTTGTACAGTACTGCTGTACTGTGATCTTTCGTACAGTACTGCTGTACTGTGATTGGTTGTACAGTACTGCTGTACTGTGATTAGTTGTACAGTACTGCTGTACTGTGATTGGTTGTACAGTACTGCTGTGCTGTGATTGGTTGTACAGTACTGCCATACTGTGATTGGTTGTACAGTACTGCTGTACTGTGATTGATTGTACAGTACTGCTGTACTGTGATTGGTGTACAGTACTGCCATACTGTGATTGGTTGTACAGTACTGCTGTACTGTGATTGGTTGTGCAGTACTGCTGTACTGTGATTGGTTGTACAGTACTGCTGTACTGTGATTGGTTGTACAGTACTGCTGTACTGTGATTGGTTGTACAGTACTGCTGTACTGTGATAGGTTGTACAGTACTGCAGTACTGTGATTGGTTGTACAGTACTGCTGTACTGTGATAGGTTGTACAGTACTGCTGTACTGTGACAGGTTGTACAGTACTGCTGTACTGTGACAGGTTGTACAGTACTGTACTGCTATACTCTTAATTGGTAGTACAGTATATCTGTACTCTTCTCTGTGATTGGCTTGGCGGTTTGTCTCTATGATTGGTGTTGTTAGTGATTGGCTCTGCTGCATACCTCTGTGTGATTGGCTCTCTGCATACCTCTGTGTGATTGGCTCTGCTGCATACCTCTGTGTGATTGGCTCTGCTGCATACGTCCGTGTGATTGGTTCAAAGATTTAGCTCTGTAAGTGAGTCAAAGAGTATGTTTAACAAGCCTCTGTATACAGGGTGTGTCATAGGTCACACCATACTGTACAGGGTGGTTCATAGGTCAAACCATACTGTACAGGGTGGCTCATAGGTCAAACCATACTGTACAGGGTGTGTCATAGGTCAAACCATACTGTACAGGGTAGCTCATTGATCATGCACCGTACTGTACAGTGTGGCTTAGATCATGCACCATAGGAAAATCAATATATATATATATGTATATATATATATATATATATATATATATATATATATATATATATATATATATATATATATATATATATATATATATATATATATATATATATATATATATATATATATATATATATATATATATATATATATATATATATATATATATATATATATATATATATATATATATATACATACAATATATATTAGGTGACAGAATTGTAACAAATAAATAGAGAATTTAACACCAGAGGAAAGAGCCAGATTAATATTCATGTAGCTGCGGGGAGCCAGAGTCCACACACTGATCACCCGCAGAAGGTAAACAGCAGCCGGGCAAATGGTCGTTGATGGTGTGTAGTGTCTGACTCAAACTTTCCTATGGTTTTAACTTCTCTTTCATCATTTGTTGTCATTGCCTCGCCTTATAGGAGAAAGGGTAGGGGGGTAGTGCAGCCTGTAGTATTGTACATCATTCGGTAGCTGTTACATAGGCTGCCAGGCTCATAGCTCACACCTCTGGCAGTAAAAACCTCTTAAGGAGTATTATTTAATGCTGCTCTTGAGGGGAACTCTAAGGTAACAACAGATTAATGTCATTCTTTTTTGCATTCTGGGTATTTTGGCGCTCATTTGGCCTCCTTCATCACTCAGAGCTGATCACTAGCTGTTTTGTACATAGAGTTGTCTTTAATAAAGCATGATCAATGTTTTGCTGTTGTTGTGGTAAATCATCTTGTGTTTTACCTCATCTTTTCACTTGCTGTATGTTTGTATACATACCTATTTGTCCCCTTAAAGAAGTTCTCCCAGTATTAGTTTTGAAATACAGTCCAGCATCTGTTATATTTATGTTGTGTATTATGTTGAACTTGTATACAGTATAATATACTGTATTGTAGTGTATACAGTACAGTATAATATACTATATATGTAGTACAATAGTAAATAATTATAATTTAAAGCTAGGTGTATGGCAAGTGAACCTGTAATAGCTCTGGACGTGTTTGTGTTGGGTGGCAGGTTCTACGAAGAGGGAGGCTGGGAGCTGGTTGGGTTATGGCTGCAGGAGGCGGTGAATTCCAAAAATTGGCCGTTGGCCACCCAGGTGCTCAATCTCCTAGAGACGTCTCCCATGACGGTGGCCAGACTCAAGAGGAACACCACCCCAAAACTGGTCAAGGAGCTCTCTAAGGAGTCCACCAGTCCAGGTAACTACCTACTAACATTATAGTCTTCCAGCAGTGACACACGCACACACACACGCACACACACACACACACACACACACACACACACACACACACACACACACACACACACACACACACACACACTCTGACTCACTCACTCACTCTGTCACTGCTGTACTGGACTGGACTGACTTACTCTTTGCGGCAGACAGATGATAACAGTTTCAGCAGACCCTTTACCTCTTGCTCTTGGGCTGTTTGAAAGCTGAGACAAGTTTTATCAACAAAGTTTAGGAATCAACTGTCACTTGACTTTGTGCCTCTTTTACATTCTGGAAAATAATAGTTACTGTTAGTTGTCAATTGACTGGACCTTGTATATATGGAGGCTTTTTGTAGTGTGGTAAGTTAATAGTGTATAATTGTTGTGGTTGCAGGTGTACAGCTTGCAGCCAAACAGCTGGTACTAAAATGGATGGAGGTGGTACGGCAGGGTGATGGGGTGGCCACAGCTGCGGGCGTGGGCCTGGCCAACTATGTCGTCAATTCTGCCGACGAAGACAGCGTGGAGGCGCCGGGCCCCCAGGCCGAGACACCCAAAGAGCCGACTGCAAAAAGTAGTAATGGCACTGGTGAGGCAGAGGTGGCTGCCCCACAGGCAGCAGCAGACTCCTCACAGGGGGAGGGTGGTGATGGCAGCTCCTCCCTCTCGTGTCAAGATGAATCTTCAAACACCTCCACGGAAAGTGACAATACGCCGCTGCCCACCACGCCCATCCGTATAACCATCCGCAGTGGGTCGCAGGTCCTGGCCAAGGTGTCTTCGCAGCGCCATAGTCAAGATTCGACAGACAGCGATGACAACAAGCCGCTCAGTGTGATCAAACAGGAGGTGGCAAAGGCCCGTACAGCTGCAACGGTTGTCACTACTGGCGTCGGTCACGAAGATAAGAATGATACAGCAGTGGAACCTATGGACACAGGGGACAATACTAATGTTGCTGCCCCAGTGGAGACTGATGGTAGTGGTTCTGGCAAAAGTCAAGTTCCAGTGTTTGTTAGTGTTAGTTCAGCGGTGATTAGCACGGCTGCTACGACCACCACCACCACTCTCACCACCACCACATTGCCGGCGACAGAGTCCGTCAGCGCCACGAAGGCTCCGGCCGTTCACACCATAGTTACGTTCACGGGCAGCCTGGCCGCCTCCGCCGTACCCGTTGCATCCCAAGGCGGCATCACGCCTTCACCACCCTCTGACGCCAAACCCCAGAGTGCCCCCGAGACAGAAAATAAGGGCAACGCCACGAACGGCACGAATGCCGGAAACAAAACCGAGTCCGTATCTAGTTTGAGTACCGACGAAGTCGACAGTTGCGATAAGTCGGAGGACAAGAGTGAAGTGAAGAGTGATGTGAAAAATGAAAAAGACAAGAAAAATGATTCCAGTAAATATAAAGACAAAAATAAAGACAAAGACAGAGAAAGGGATAAGAAATTAAGGGAATCTGATAAAAAGAAAGATAAAGATAGAAACCACAAAGGCAGAAGCAGCAGCATGAGTAGCAATAGTAGTAAGTGTGATAGGGAGAGAGATAAAAGCTCTAAAGACCACAGTAAGTCTAGGAGTAACAGACACAGAAGAAGTGACAGCAGAGACAAGGACAGGAAGGACAGAGACCGAAGCAAGAGCAGTAAAGATAAAAAGAGCAGCAGCAGAGACAAAGATAGACATAAAGATAAGGATAAAGACAAAGACAAGCGTGAAGATAAGAAGAAAAAGGAACAGGAAAATGAAGACAAAGCTACTCTGGAAAAGGTGAAGCCTCTAAGTGTAGATGGACTGGCCAAGATCCCCAGGAAGTCTACCCCGGCCAGTTTCCTCGATGCCTTGGGTTCTGCAGACGTCGACCTGCAGGAGTCCAAGAAGCCCTCGGTCAAGACGTACAAGTCTCGCGGGTTCAGAAACACCGGACTCTTGGACGAGCCCACCAAGCTGCCCGGCGTGGCAGGGAAGAAGCCGTCCGGCACCGGGACGGGTCCCAATAGTGGGATGAAGCGCACTACGCCCCTCGAAGACCTGGCCTCCACGCCCCCCGACAAACGCGTTCGCTCGTCCGTGTCGTCGTTGCCGCTCAGCACTGACAAGCCCGGAGGAGTCAAGCTAATATCGCCCAAACGACGTAAGTGGAAGATGCCCGCCACTACTCTCATCTGTTTTCTTACCCTTGGTTGTTTTATTTCTTGCCTCTTTTATCCTCTTATATTTCTTATATATACATTTTGGTTGAGATGGGTTTCTGTTTTTATGACCAACAGGAAAAATTTTCATCGCAGTTTTCTTTTTTATTTTGGCACGAGTGCCGGCAGTGTATCTTTCGTTGGGGCCTCAGTGCTCTTCACTCAAGTTTTTCTCTTTCTTTTTTAAATTGAAATATTTCATTTATTTTATAATGTGGAACGAGGTAGTGGCGGGCCTCATTTTAACATAGCAGTGGTAGACCAGGAGTGGGGCTGGAGTTAGCCAGTAGCACAGGATGGAAGCAGAGAGCCAAGCACACCTTCCCTAATGGAGATACTTCATCTCACCTTCACTATACAGTGTTTTCATTAAGAGTAAACAATACTTATTATGTATTAAAACACCTCACATATTGCTCAGGCTATTTGTGCTCTCTGGTTCTGGCCACAAGCAACTGGCTTCAGGGCCCATTGTTATTGTGGTTGTGGGTAAGACTGAAGGAGAGCTCATCAGGTCCAGTTGCCTTCTTCCTTCACATCACGATAATGAAGACTGACCTAAAACCCTGTAGTACAAACCTCTGTGTAACTTACCTCAGTGATCTTATAAAGTGGTTGTGGCTTCTAACAACAAACTGTGTAATATGAACATTTGTCCAAAGGTTTATTAATTGTGTCATGTTGACAGTGACCATAAGTATGTGAAGTAGAGCCACAGGTTGGTGTCAGGTATACAACAACAGTATTGTACTGTATCTTCTGGTTAGTCAGCTTTATGACACACAAGATATCATTATTTTATACAATGTGGCTTTTGCTTGTACGAGATTCAGGGAAAGATTTTTTAGAGGTTTGTTGAGAGGCTGGCATACCCTGTTAACTACCCTGCTAGTCTGTGGTATGACAACAGTATTATGGAACTGTCACAACTTCAGTAACTAACTTAATTTTTCATGTTATATTCAAGAACCCGATATTAACCACTCGGTTTTCTCACGGTGTTTAGTTATAACATAAAAAATGGTGTACGTAAAGTGTTCCCAGTGATGGATTTTTCTGGGGTAAGTAAGAAGGCTTCAGGACCCGTGAGCAAGTAACTCCTTCCACAGCTTGTGTCAGCGAGGATGGAAGAGGTCGTACGTCACCTGTTGTCTGTGGCTGTTTGGTACAATAACAAGGTTGTGAACCTCTCATACCTACAGTATTGTTATTTTACCCAAGTAATATAAACATGGGGTGGCCCACGTGACTAGGCATGTAACCACGCATTATATGTAACGTGTAGGTAGGAAGTTACTGTACACTGAGACTTACAAGATACAATATATGGGACTTTGTTATGGAGAGATGATGGTTTTACCCTAAGTTACTTCCCATGGGGCTATCCTTCAGGGGGCAGAGTGAGGGCTGTCGTGTGCAGGATGGGGAAGTACAATACACAGTAAAATACATCAATGAAAAGAATGTGGCTGGATATAAGAGATGTAGTAAGGGGAACTGACCGCTGGTTTAGGAGATGCTTCACGCACACACACACACACACACACGTTACCCTGGTTAGGTTCAGTCATGAGATAAATAAAGTCGAGTGATCCATTTTTGTCAGGTTATATTAGACAGATATGGAGCTAAAATGCATTGACCAGAAGAGATACTGTACCTGCTATGAATGTTAAGATGTTCAGTGAGAAACCCAGGAATGTTGTGCCGTATTATTGGCTTGTGTCTTGAGGATGAGAAATGGGAAGACCTTGCAGAAATATACAGAAGATAGGGAAATTACTTACAAAAAATACACAAATGAAAGAGAATTATACAATACCGTACAAGATTATTTGATACATTCCTTTAAATTCTCTGCCAAATAGCTGGGATGATAGAAATTATTAAATAACTTTTTTCTCTATAGGATTAAAACCTAAGATTGTTATAGCATGATAGCTGTTCATAAAGAGGTGTTCATATCCCATTGATTATTCAGTAATAAAGTACTGTACTCTACTGGACCTGCAAATAGACAATGAATTATGAGGATTTGATATTTATGCATTGTACTGACCTATACTGCACTGTTTTGTCTGCACCATAAAGGCTGATAAATATTCATTGTCATCTTAAGTGAAAGACATTATACCACCAGCCTCATGCTTACAATGGCTGTGAAGAATAATGACTTTTAAAATTCTGTATATAGTATTAACCCTTCCTGGTTTTGTGTTGGGTCGATCTTGGGGTGACTTAGAGGGAGGAAATGATATGGGGATGGATTGTGGGTGGCGAGACAAAGTAATTCAGGGAACACGTACGTCGTATCCTTCCTCGTCTTGCATACAGTACTGTACATTATGAATACTGTACTGAGCCTCCGCAGTGACTCAGAGCTTTTCACTTTACATACTTGTTTATGATCTTATATGCTGTACTGTACATCCAAAGTGTGTTTCACAGATGCAGTATTGGGTTATCATATGAAAGATGTTGTGTCTTGTTTATAACATGACAACAAGGAGCACCACCAGAAGAGTGTTATGCTGTGCAGTTTGATAGATGACTTAAGTTGTGATGCAGTACAGTAGTTAAGACTGAACCTTTTGTCAAAAATTGACGGATATTACCATCATTTTTAAAAATTTGAAAATTGTAAAATAATTTAGAGCCTTGTATAGTACATGTAGACTGCTACAGCAACTGACTAACAGCAAAAAATGACAGTTTTTTGTGTTACCTGAATATAACAGGTTACAAAGTCACTTTAACATCTTAAGATTAAAAAAAAGGTGGCATACTGTAATGCTGATTTGACAGATAAATAGCTCATGAAAGTGGAGGATATACTGTAGTCACGTTCCCTCCTAGGTAGAATGGAACATTTTTGTAACAACCATTTTTGGACATAGATGTACTATACAGTAGAGTATGACACAAGAGATGTGACCAGAACTTGTGATCAAGGGGTGAAAGATGAAATAAATCATCAGGGTGTAAGGAATTGTCCCACTCCTCCATTTCATGTGGAAAACCTATTGCCTGAAGAGTAGATTATGATGTAAGTGAAATTAAGGAGACAAGAAGGTGTAATAAAATATTGTAAAGTGTGAGGCTATTATAAAGAACAGATAGACTTGTGCCTAGGTGGGCTGCCCCTGTTTGTTAGTGCCAAGACTCAAGATGCCCGAACAATTGTGTGATAGATATTCCATCCTCGCTGTGTTGTATATTCTGCAGGTTTAAGATTTTGTTCTTTATTTCCAGTTACAGGTAAAAGAAAAGAACAGGTTTGCCGAGATGTGTTGTATTATATTCCCAGACCTGGCAGTACGGTACAGTAGTGTTGTAGACATATATTGTTAATTGGGTTGAAGTGTTCCTTCTTTCAGCTGTGGCAGCGCAGGTGCTGGTGAGGTGACCTACATGTGTATTGTGCTTATTCACCTTCCTCCCTGTAAGCACAACCGGCGGCCACGGAGGAGCCGAGGCTGCCCGCTGTAGCTGCTGCCGCCGCCGTCGCGACACCATTGTCGTGTCGGGCAGACCATGGCTGCTGGGGACGCAGGGACACCCATGAGCCCGGCGTCCCCACCTTAACAGTGAGACGGGGGACGCTAATGAGCCCCCATAGGTAGCCAGGCCGTGTCCTCCGAGGGCACCGTAGGGGGGACGTGCCATGAGCCCCCTGGGGTAGGTAGGATAGGTAGGAGTTGGGCGGGCCAGATGTGTGGGATGATGGGCGGCCACATGCCCACCTCACCGGGGTAGGGTGTGAGAGTGCCACGCAGCTTGAAATCGTTAGAAAGCGTATCGAACATCCCCATTATGCGGGCGTTGCGTCGAGTAGTACAGCTAGTGGTAGGTGGTGTTAAGGAGTGGTCATGGCAAAAGTCTCGCAAGGCTTCAAATACAGCTTAACAATAAAGGCAGTGGTGCCCAAGCTGTGTTTGAAGGTACACGGCACGCTATTGTTAACGTCTGGGTAATAACATGGTGGATTTCTCTACGTAACCCTCTGCGTTTCACTAGACAATTGACTACAGTACTGATCCTGGAAGTATGGCTTTGTTTTAACTTGTACTGCAAAATTATAGTGTCGAGTTGAGCTTTTAACTTGTTCTTGCCGATGGCAATAATGTTCAAAGTTTGTCGTAAACATTGAGGTTTGTGTCGGTTGTTGAATGCAGCCTCTGTGATTGTTGTGTTGCAAGTGTTCCACGGAGAATTGATTGATACTAGATATTCATTTACGACGGGTTATTATAGAATTAAGAGTCGTGTGATGTCTTGTCCGGTATTCAAATGGCAGTTTCGTTGAATTTTATCTTAATGTTTTTGAAAGCAAAGTCGTGGAAAGGCCACAATCATACTGGTGTAAGTGAAGACCACCACAAGGACCACACTACAAATAATTCCTATTTGATTACATGATAACTCATCGGTGCCGAGGCTTATTAGACCATTTTACTCTCTTGGCTCCTCAGTACTTAACGGTAGAGGTAACGTAATGTGATCTTACATACTGTACTGTAGTTGGTCAGATGGGCCACTGAACAAATGTTGCCAAATAAACCAAAGCTTGTTATTCTTTTTAGGATTTATCTTGAAACTTGTTAATAGATTTATCCATTTTAAGACTAAAAGCATTAGCTCGTTTCAGGTTTTATTCTGTAGAGTAGTCACATGGTTAAATTGATTCAGTTTGTGTATAGACGATGCATATTAGCAGTATTCATCAATGCTAGATCTAAACCGAGCCATTTTTAAGAAAATGTTTGTGGTATTACGGTATTCCAAAATATTACGTCATCGATTCGGTCGATTAAATTTCATTTTAATATTGAAAGCACTGCACTTGCATTTTTAATTTTTGTACAGTATTAGTTTACGTAAATTGACACGATATACAAACAATGGACCATCTACACTACGCTACAGGCCGTGTGTCTTTTGT